CTAAATGACTTAGCAAATATCCTACTCGAACAAAACAAATGTAAGAGACAAATATAAATAAAGTCTAAGGCACGAAGCCCTATTGCATTAAAGCCAAAAGCCCTTTCGGGCACGGATGAGTTCAAGAATTATGATAAAAGCCCTCCCGGGCACCAAAACAAGCGTAAAATCCCCGCCGGGCTACCAAGTTCGAAAAATAAATTTTTAAAAAGAGGAAGGGAAAGAGAAAGGAGCCACGGTCAGCCCTCGAGCTAACCACCCGCCTTCTCGTCTTCGTCTTCCCTCCTCGCGTCGTTGCTACCTCCTTCTTCCACATTCGTACCGAATTGATTAAGACCAACGGACGCGCCTGAAGCCGGGTCAACCTTCATAGCTACCGAATCTTCGGAGATCACGGAGAGATTCAGCTTGCTGATCGAGAAGTCCGAGACCTGGGCAGCCTTAAAAGCCGCTCCCAGGTCCTCCTCGTCCTTCTTTACCCTCTCCAGCTCCTCTTCAATGGTAATGGCCCCGGCAATGACCTGCTCGAGCATCTCCTTGTTGGCAATGCACTCCTGGAGATCGCACTCGGCCACACCTTCGGCCTTCTTCTTCTCCACTTCAGCTTGAAGCCCTCGATCACCTCCATGAACCTCCGGGACATCTCCTTCTGGGCCTCACGGCTCGCTTTACGGACATCACCCTCGCGGATCAGACGGAGATTCTCCTCCCTCGCGTCCGAGGCTTCGTGAAGAGCTTGCACTGTCTCAGCTTGCGCCGCGATGATCTGGTTGGTGGCGATCTTGAACTTTCCGTTCTTGTCAACCAACTCGTTCTCCAGATCGGTGATGTGGGATTGCTGGCCTTTGAACTGCTTAAATAGTTTAGTCTGGCGAGCGACCTGTACATTTGCGGCCTTAAGGTCGGACTTCAGCTTGCCGACTACCTCACCCATCTCCTTGATTTCCTCCGGACGAGGGACATCCCGCAACCTTTGCTTGAGGCGAGCATAGAGCCGGTTTCCAGCCTTCGCAGCCTGCGAGCATCAAGAACCAAAGCGTTAAGACTAATAACACTTAACCAAAAAAGTATAAAGCAAAAGGTACACCCGTTACCTTCCCTTGGGCCGACGCCATATCCACGTAGAGCTCCTTCTCGGTCATCTTCTTGAGAGCCGGAAGCTGGCACCCAGCAGGCTTGAAGTGACGCCATGCCCTCAGAGTCATCCGTGATCGGATGATCCTTGGTGTGCTCAAACTTCCAGTGGAACGGCCGGCTACCCGTCGAGTCCCCACTTCCGTTAGATGCCGACGGACGCGGCTCTGCAGGTTAATTTCCTCTGTCATCTCTTGGCCTCTTAGAAGCAGGCTGGGACAGATGCTCGGGCTCCTGGTCATCGACGGAGCGCTGGGTCTTGCCCGAACTGATGTAGATCGCCCCCACTAATCGTTGAAGGGGGTCGGGCTGAGGGTTCATCATTTTCTCAACCTCCTCGTCATGAAGATGAGGTGAGGGAGCAGCAGCCGAGGCGAGCGCGGCCTCGAGGACCTCCTTGACGCTCCCGGAACGTACCCTGGAGTTGTTGGGACCAGTCGGGACTTTCCCGGCTCTTTGGCGGAAGGTTGGCTTGCGAGACATTGCGGAGCTTGAGCTTGCTGAATTAGAAGAAGGCATAATAGAGCGGAGAGGAAGAACTCCAGCTGCCAGCATAATAAATCAGTATACATCACTCCATCATGATCCAATAAACTAAGGTCGTAACATCAGCTCGCCAAGAAAAACTTACCAGGTGCGACAACCGGAGCCGGGGCAGGTGATGAAAGGATTCGTCGGACTCGTTCTCGCGTGAACGAGCTCCAGACAACTTCTCCTCACTTGAATAATTCTAGCCGGTGCTCGATGTCGGGATCTCTCAGTGCTCTAGATAACTGACCTAATAAACAACAAAAAGCAAAGGATCAGAAAATCAGTCGAGCAAAACAAGGCAAGTAAAGCTAACAAACGCATAAGCCTCGCTAGATAACCGTTGCCCGCAAACTCGACCGGCAGCCGGGAGAAGTCGAAATCTCTGACGGACGCTTCGTTGACCCAGAATTTAAATCCGGTCTTTTCCTAACTAGAGTCCTTCTGCGGACTCTCTTCGATGAACCGCTGGTTCGACCTCGGGGACGCGTAGAAAGTCCTGGGACGGCGGGCGTTATATTTGAAGGAGAAAAACGCCCTCAGGTCCGAGTAGCGAAAAATCATGTTCTCCTCTCGAGCCCGCACAGCACATCCGACGATGGCCCGGACCAGGTTCGTGCACATCTACAGGAAAGCTAGTCGTAGGTACCCATTACTTCGAGGATAAATCGAGGGATTGGGAAGAAAAACCCACAATAATTTTTCTAAATTTTTGAACCAAAAAAGTCTTTCTAATTTTATTTATCTAATAAAATCAATTTTATTTTATACATTTGATGGTATATATTTTGAAAATTACATATTATTTTATTATATAACCTAACTGAACTTATTAAATTAGAGTCAATGATAAATTACCACAAGAAAATACTATATTCCTTAATTAGTGAATTGAGAGTATTATTGTCCTTGAATTCAATTTTTTAATACAAAAAAATATAGGGTGGGTGGTTTGATAATGGTAAGTGGGTCCAGCTTGTAACAAGGGACGTGGGCCAATGAATAAGAAGACTCTTTGGTTTCTGACATCTTCCCACAGACAAAGTCTGAAGTGAAAGGAAATAACATCCGTCCACGTTACTGCGACATTTAACGGCTGAGATTTGGCTTCATATGTGTCTAATCGAGGTTGGTTCGTTTCTTGTTATCGTTGGTTATGGACAGTGAAAGAATGACACGTGCTTTCCTTACAACTACTTTTTCTTTTGTTTTTTCCATACTTTAAACTTTTAATCAGAGTACTAAAGAAGTAGTGGACCGATCACAAATAAGAAAATCAAGTGATTTATTGTTTGGATCTTGTTTACTTTAGGAGGCATTTTCAATTTACTAGTGAATCAAACTTTGGTATGACCTGTTCTTTGCTCGCGTATGCAACCGATTTTGGTTATTTTTTTCTGTCATATTAATGGTTGGCTCATGGCACTTTGAGATGTCATCGACAAATAAGGGAGCTTCTGAGATGTATTAAGACTCCAATCATACGTTGCTAGAGGAAGTCTTAGTGAGATGGTGTTAGTCTTCGTGCAATAGCTGGTGTCTTTCTTTGACTTGTCATAGATTCTTTTAGTTTCAAACTTCGTTATGTTTCTCTAAACTTTCAAACTAAAATTAAAGTAGTTTTACTCCACCATTTATTTGTACAATCAATCATCTTTACGAAAATCAAAATAAGTAACTGAAAATTGCTCAATGAGATCTATAAACATACACCAAACATGGTCTGATCCCACATAAAAAATGTCCATGTGTTAGTACGTACGTAGATAAACGCAGCATAAGAGAACAATTTAGTAGATCATAACAAGTTTGGTATAACAAAATGACCATCGTCAAGTAATGCAACATTGAAATGATACTACCTCAACGTTAATATGGTCAAACCATATCTCAAATAGCTACCAAATAAAGAGAAATTCTAGTTGCATGAAAAAAAAAATGCATTTGGAGACAAGAACTAAGTGAGTTCTAGTTTGTATGTTTAGCATCATACGGAACAACGACACATCGACACTAGTACACATCATTAGACTACTACATATCTCAAACTCATTGTCAATAACTTTTAAATTATTAGTGTTCATATTTGAAGTTAAATGTATCGAAAATCTGGTCTGTTTACGTTTTGAACAGTTTAACATTAACTAAAATGTAATAATACCAGTTGACCAAAAAAAAAAAAAGTAATAATAATACCAATTTCAGTTTAAATAACGAATTCAGATAGCTAGAAATAATTTTTCTCGATGCTAATAGAATATTCCAAAAATGGTGGGTAATGATCTTTGCCTATGCTTTGTAGTTTGTACTTATGTTGCATGAAAACGGAAACGGGTACGTGGAAGCGGAACGTTTCGAAACGCGGAAACGCTATTTTAAAAAAAATATAAAAATGGAAACGTTTTGGAAACGTATATATATATATATATATTATATTAATTATTAAAGATCTAATTATACGTTTATAATTAATAAAATATAGATTATAAGTAAAATAATTTAAATCAATAAAATTTAATATATAATTTTTACATAATTATTAAATTATAAAAATTAAAATATGTAAAGTCAAAAATTTAGAAGATTTTTTTTATTATCAATTTTATTAGTTTCATTAACCAATCTATCTCTAATTCTAATTCACCTAGAGAATAATTTTGAAACTTAATAATCTCAAAATTAATCTTAATTACCAAATCAAAATATTTATTATTTACTATAAATAAGTAAATCGATAATTTAATTTAATTTTTATAATTATTTATTTGTTCTATAAAAACAAGAAATTAGTTTTTATCTTCTTTCCAAAATGGAAACGCTTGTTTCTAAAATGGAAACGCGTTTCCAAAGTGTTTCCAAATTAAAATTTTTAGAAAACATGATTTTTCGTGTTTCCGACGAATTTCTGAGAGTTTCGATTTCCGAAACGTTTCGGAAGCGGGAAACGTACCTCGGACGGAGTTTCCATGCAACCTAGGTTTGTACTACCAAGAATAATAATAAATATAAAAGAAAACGAAACACTTAAAAAAAAAAAAAAAAACTCCATCTGAATATTTAAATCCTGCACACAAGTGTACAGTTGCTCTACCTCTACACATCAAGTTCAATGTAAGAGTTTCATATCATATAAAATGCTAAGGATTTGTAAACAATGAAAATATTAAACTTCTGATGGTCTATTTCCTCATCACATCCTTCAAAAACCCATTATCATCTAGAAAAAGTTCCATCCATCTTCTGTGATCTGAGTTCTAATTTCAAAACCTTGTAGGATGTAGTTTAGGGGACGAAGGATTCGCGTTTGAGTTTGTTGAATCTAGATAAGCTTTCTTTCTTCATCTGTTCTGTCTACGTTTGCGAAAATGTCTGAGGATGAAACTGTCTGCATACAGAGGATACTTCTTTTTTATTAGACCCTTTATGCATTTCCAATACGAAAAGTCGACTACTTCTCCATCTTTTCGAACTATAAACAAACATCGAGAGCTCTCGAATTCTGGGTGATGCCCAACCTGCAACCACAAGCCAAAGCAATCAAGACTTCAGTACTTAATGTCCATTTGGAATAAGTCTATAAGGAAGCATGAAGCATATATCTCTTCTCCCCTCTTCTCCCTAACTCATTTCTATCTTGGTTATGTAAAACATGAAAGTGTATGTTGACCATAGTAACAAGAGACACGTAAATGGATTTAAAAACAGTTTACAATAAATGACTTTTGTTTCCATAATGAAGAATGTGGAATTTCAATAAAGAATGCAGTATACGCCAAGACAAGAACAGACTAAAACTGCAGACAAACAATCTGAAAGTGAGCAATGTCGAATCAATTTCAGAAGCAATAGGTTCAATTAGTTAAAGGCTCGTGTTGTTTCCAAATCTAGAAAGCTGATACATACCATGATATAGTCTATTCCACAACCAATCTTCTTCTCAACTTCAGGGTGATAAGGAAGCAGCATCTCAACGATTGTTCTCTCGTGCTCGGCGATTAGCCTATCTCGGTTTGCATATCTGCAAATTTGAAATGCCAAATAGAGCTACCAAATGAATCAAAAGAGGACTCTTTATCAAACAGATGAACATATAAGCAGCAAAAACAACACAATATTCACATATCTGTTTTGGCATTTTCACATCTAATCCATACAAGAAAGCAACTACTCTCTTTCGACTCATCCTTGAAGCAAATCAAGAAATGCTTCAAAGGACTTAGAACCATATCTCGAGCTCTCGTTTCACAATCTCGATCATACCAACCAATAAAATCTCAAGTAGACAACAACAACAACAACAACACCAAAAATTGCTAAATTCCCCATTCTAGTACGAAGTTCTGCAATCGATTGATTCCTAAATGCATACAAAAGCAAGCAATCGATTACAGAAGGAGAAAAATGTTAGAGAATCTCGAGCAGTAAAACACTCAATTAGACAACAACAACACCAAAAATTGCTAAATTCCCCCATTCTAGTACGAAATTCTGCAATCGGCTGCTTCCTAAATGCTTGCAATAGCAAACAATTGAAATGATTTTTGACTGTAACAATGAGATTACGAAATTCGAAAGCAGCAAGGCGTACTTTCCGGAGTGAAGAATCATCCTGACAAAACCAACAAGAGGAACAGTAACCTCGAGGATTTTATCTTCCCAATCCACAAAATCATCACCGTCGCCGCTCTCATTTTCCTCTTCTTCGGAGCTTTCCTCTTCCTCAGACGAGATACGCGGCCGATGAAGCAATTCCGAGCCGTACGATTCCGTGTTACCGATCCTAGCGCCGTCAGATTCCGTTCGCAAGGAGCGAACTCGGGGCCTGAGCGATGCTGAGTAACCACGACCGCGCGGGAAATATAAACAGAGAGGTGAAGAAGAGACGGAGAAGATGTAAGCTTGGCAGCGGAAACAAGGCGAAGCCACTGACGGCGTCGAGTAAACGGAAGCTAAGCTCATTCCGGAAAATTTATGGAAGCGTAGAGAGAGAGAGAGAGAGAGGGAGCTAAACGGTTACATTATCCATTTGCAGGCGTACCGTCGTGGAAAGCTTGCGACCAGAGAATGGGCGGATGGAGAAGAGAAGCCTGCGAGTGGATTCTATTTGGGCCTAATGGCCCCCGTCATTTTGTTTGTTAAAATCGCAAATCTACCAAATAATAGGACCAATTATGTTTTATGTTTTGACTAATGAAATTATATATGCTTAGAAATTCATTATGATCATTCTGGATACAGATAGAGGGAGAGGAAGCTGATCTGACGGCCCTGATTAATCGAGCTCTGCAGCGCGTCAAATCTTTGAGGTCGAATATTCGACGGTTGAGATTGGGTGATCGAACGGTAGAGATTGGTGTGTGGCCAAATTTTTCGCGATCTTCGAGATAGGCAATAATTACTTAGATATAAAGTCCACCTTCTACACTCCTTCTTTAACCGCCTCAGTTCGTAGATTAAAGGTAACTTCTTATCTCTTATTCCTTTTATTTTCTACAACTTCCATTCATCGTCTTTCTTTTAGAAATCGAGAAAGAGAGGTTTTCCGACGAACAGAAATCTCTTCGGATTTTTGCGTGTTCTTGCCGTTTCGAGAACTTCTTCCTCCTTCTTTCCGATGTCGCAAATCGTACGGGTCGAAGGTGGCACAAAGGACTCGGTGGCCTCGGGTCCGTTAAAAATTAAAGAACAGAAGGTCTTAGATGACCTTCGTCGGGAATGCGAGATTCCTGATAACGTAGAGCTGGCGGTTTTGGTGCCAACGGAGACCCCATCGAATGTCGAGCTGGGTTTCTGCTAAGCATATGCGACATACTTCCGGGACTGCGGGTTGTTTTTCCCGATCCTCCGGTTTGTCTTGGAGGTCCTCGCCAATCTGTGGATGGCTTTCCCGCAGATGTGCCCGAACTTGGTTTGGGCCATCATTGGGTGCGCCGTGCGGGGACAAGAGGAAGCCGTTAGCTTCCATTTGTCCGATTTGAGGGCGTTCTTCTCCATTAAATACAACGCCTGCCGTCCCAGGACCTTCTATGCGTCCCCGAGATCGAACCAGTGATTTATTGAGGAGAGCCCAGAGAAGGACTCCGAGTGGAAGAAGATGGGCTTCAAGTTCCGGATCAACGAGGCGTCGATCGGCGATTTTGACTTCTCTTGACTGCCGACTATGTTTCCGGGCAGCGGTTGTTTAGCTAGGGTTTACACGTTTGCTAGCTTTACTTGTTTTGCTTGACTTGGTCGGTTTTCTGACCCCTGTTTGTTTTGGTTTATCAGGTCAGCTATCCAAGGCGCCAAGGGATCCCGACGTCGAGCACCGGTTGGAGTTATTTATGCGATGAGAAGTTATCTGGAGCACATTCACGCGAGAACGAGTCTGATGAGTTCTTACTTCGCCTGTCCTAGCTCCGGTTTTCGCGCCTGGTAAGTTTTTCTGTCGAGCTTGTGCTCCGTCCTTTGTTTATTGGATCACGATGAAATGATGCATAACGGTTTTATTTCGCTGGCAGCTGGAGTTCTTCCTCTCCGTTCTCTCCTGCCTTCTTCTAGTTCGGCAAGTTCAAGTTCAGCCATGTCTCGCAAGCCAACTTTTCGTCAGAGAACCGGGAAAGCCCCGGCTGGTCCCAGCAGCTCCAGAGTACGCTCTGGAAGTGTCAAGGAGGCCTTTGAGGCCGCGCTTGCCTCAACTGTTGCTCCCGCACCTCACCTCCATGATGAGGAGGTTGAGCAGATGTTAAACCGTCAGCCCGACCCCCCTCCTCGATTGGTGGGGGCGATCTCCGTTAGCTCCGGCAAGACCCAGCACTCCGTTGATGACCAGGAGCCTGAGCACTCATCCCAACCTTCCTCCAAGAGGCCAAGAGATGACAGGGGAAGCTGAGCTACAGAGTCGCGTCCATTGGAGTCTAACGGGAGTGGTGGCTCGACGGGTAGCCGGCCTTTCTACTGGAAGTTCGAGCACACCAAGGATCATCCGATCACGAATGACTCCGAGGGCATGGCGGCCATGTGGCGTCACTTCAAGCCCGCTGGATACCAACTTCCTGCTCTCAAGAAGATGACCGAGAGAGAGGTCTACATGGAGATGGTGTCGGCCCATGGGAAGGTAAAGGGTGTACATTTTACTTTGTACGTTCGGTTAAGCATTGTTTGTCTTAACGTTTTGGTCCTCGATGCTCGCAGGCTGAGGGGGCTGGGAACCGGCTCTATGCTCGCCTCGAGCAGAGGCTGCGGGACATCCCTCGTCCGGAGGAGATCGAAGAGATAGGGAAGGTAGTCGGCAAGCTGAAGTCCGACCTTGAGGCCGCGAATGCGCAGGTCGCTCGCCAGACTAACCTCTTTAAGCAGTTCAGAGGCCAGCAAGCCCACATCATCGACCTCGAGAACAAGCTGGTTGACAAGAGCGAGATGTTCAAGGTTGCCACCAACCAGATCTTCGTGGCCCAAGCCGAGATGGTGCGAGCTCTCCACGAAGCCTAAGACGCAAGGGAGGAGAACCTCCGACGGATCTGCGAGCGCGAGGATGCTACCCGCCAAGCCAGCTGTGAGGCCTTGAAGGAGATGTCTCGGAGGTTCATGGAGGTGATCGAGGGCTTCAAGCTGAAGTGGGAGAGGAAGAAGGCAGAGGGTGTGGCCGAGTGCGATCTTCAAGATTGCATCGCCAACAAAGAGATGCTCGAGCAGGTTATTGCCGGGACCACCTCCGTCGAGGAGGAGCTGGAGAGGGTGACAAAAGATGAAGAAGACTTGGGAGTGGCTTTTAAGGCTACCCAGGTCTCAGACTTCTCGATCGGCAAGCTGAACCTCCCAGTGATCTCTGAGGACTCGGTGGCTATGGAGGTCGACCCAGCTTCAGGCGCGCTCGTTGGTCTTAATCAGTTTGGTACGAACGTGGAAGAAGGTGGCAGCAGCGATGCGGAGAAGGGGGACGAAGACGAGAAGGCGGGTGGTTAGCTCGATGGCTGACCGTGGTTCTTTTCTCTTTCTCTTATTCTTTTCAATTTAAATTTAAAACTTGGTTGCCCGGCGGGGCTTTTACGCTTGTTTTGGTGCCCGAGAGGGCTTTTATCCTAATTCTCGAACTTATCCGTGCCCGAAAGGGCTTTAGTTTTAATGCAATCGGGCTTCATGCCTTTATTTATCTTTGTCTTTTGCATTTAGTTTGTTCGAGTAGGATTTTGGCTAAGTTGTTTGGTAACTTAGGGAAGCGGACTAGGATTATCGAGCTCGAGGCTTAGTTCGCTATTCGTGAGTTCGATGCTCGTGTTGTTAGCTACGAGTTCGTTGTTTGATTTATCGGACTTAGGTAAAACGATTAGGTCACGGAGTGCGATCCGTTTATTTTGAGAAAAGTGGCTAAGTTTTTTTGCTCGACTTTTCTTTAGGTTTTGGAACATGGATCGAACTGCTTCGCGATGAAAGTTTCGGTGTTCGAAATGGAGTTTGCTTTCCTTTGAACTAGGCATTTCTCAGTTTCAGCTTTGAGATGGAGAATGGGGTTTGATTTTACTCTGAGTTTCCAGACATTGGGCTCAGTCGTTCCAGGAGAACTGCGAGCTGCGTTGGGCTCGCCGATTCGAGGTCTGAAGCTCCGGTTATGGTTGGAGTCGAGTTGTAAATCTGGCCGCACCTGTGAAGTGGAGTAGGACTCCGAACGTAGTTGATTTGCAAAATGAGAGATGTGTACCTTGTGTTCTTTTGAGAAAGGCATCTAGGATAGTTGGCTCCCCCTCCCCCCCGAAGGAGTGAGGTACGTGTGTACTGTAGCTCGCTTATATCGAGGTGTGGGAGATTGGGAGTGCTTGGGCTTCGAGGTCGGTTGGATAGGACCCCCCCCCCCCCCCCCCCCCCCCCTTTAATGAGTGATCGGTGCGTGAGCTAGATGATATAACCATATATTTCACATATTTTGTATGCATTTATGATAGTTTTTCATGCATTCATCTTGTAATATATGCTAGTTTGTTCCATTTGTTGCATTTTATGTCCTAGGTCTCTTTGCATTCATATTTTGCATGTTTCTTGCACCTTTGCATCATTATCAGGTTGTTTGGAGCACTCTGGAGTTGTGGAGGTTATATGGACGTGAGGAGGATCAGCTAGAAGCTTGTGGACACTTGGAGAGCTCAACCTTGCATGCGAAGGACCCGAGATCGTGTAGCGGATCGAGCAAGGCAGGTCTATCTAGATGAGATCGACCAGAAGATCGAGTGACCCAAGTCGATTCAAGAGGAAGGATCGAGACCAAGATGGAGAGAGGAGATCGATCTGGAGTACGGATGTGAATGACGCCATGCAGAACGAGAGCCAGATCGAGACCACGACTCGATCATCCAAGGATCGAGAAGAACATCGAGGAAGGTGCTCGATCCATCTAACTAGATCGACTGGAAGATCGAGCAAAGAAAGGCGATCCAGCAAGAAGATCGAGTGAGCTGCTCGATCCAGAGATCGATCTCTGGAGCCTTATCCGGCCAGCTCAGCTTTGGACCGTAGCGAAGGGGGGACCAGTTGGCGGTTTGGTTATTTATGGCAAAGGGCAGCCATCCTTTTCATCAACAACTTTCAGACTTATCTTTTTATGCGATTCGCCATTGTAGAACATCGAAGCTTTCTTTTAGATTTTGAACTTGAATCGTTTTAATATTAAGCTGTTTTCTTTTAATCGTTCGTTAATCATGCTTAGTTCTTTGTTTATTGCCTTTCAATCGGTTTCTTTCATGAGTAGCGAGTAGTTCCTTTTGGGATTTGGGGTTGAGGTGATTCAAAGGGTTTAAGAGGTTTAAGTTTTGTATTTTTCTTGTTCTTCATCTATTTCCTTCTAGGATCTTGGGGTCTTATGGCTTAGAGAGTCTTGGAAAAGATCTCTATCTTACCCTAACCGGATTCAGATATCCTAGAAAACCAGATCCTAGAGACTAATTTTTCCTCTCCCAAACGCCATGGTTGTAGAGGAGGTTAGTTAGGCC